GAGAGAATATTGCAGTAACTTACTTGTTGAATGTATATATACACAAGTGTATGTATATGTATATATACATATACATACACTTGTGTATATATACATTCAACAAGTAAGTTACTGCAATATTCTCTCTATTGAAGGAGAAAATATTATAATAGTTGGTGAGCACATTTGCAATTTGCTGAATGCTTTGAGTAATGCAACTTGCTAAAAGGTATTTTGTTACAGCATGAACTACTGTATCCCACAATGCTGCTGTACTGTATGAATTTTCAATGCATGAACTACTGTATCCCACAATACATATAGTTAACGTAGTGCTGTCAAAATTAGTGCGCTAACGCATGTGATTCATTTAATATAATTAAAACATAAAAAAAAAATTAACACAACACAGTTTTTTTATTTCCTCTTGTGGTCGACGTGTGTTCAACATGTAAAGAAATACGGATAAGGCCAAGGAAGCACTTTTTTAAGGCTAGTTTCAGGATAAAATAATTAATCTCGCATCACCCGGCTCTCCAGGGCCCGGTTTTTCAAAAGTAATCCACTAGGATTTTGGATAAGGGATTGGATCAAATCTTGAAAATGGGTTTTTCAAAAGAAAAAACGGATTACATAATCGGATTAGATCACATTATCCAATCTTGGTTTTGATCCGGATCAAACCTTTAGTTTGGGTTTTTCAGACCTTTTTTGTAGGATCTGGATCACTTTGATCCAAAAAACCTGGATTAAACTGATCCCATCAGAAGGGTGGATTTAGTGTGGATTTCATGCCCAAAATGTAATGAAAACTTTTTAAAAAATTATTAAATAATACTATTTTTGGATCATACAGTATCTTACGAGATATACTATTTATTCATAAGATTTTTATTTTATTTGTTCATCCGTCAGCCTATAGTGAGTATAGGCTTTAACGTATTTAGCCTATTTTAATTAACGTATTTTAGCCTTTAACGTATATCAGTATAGGCCTACAGCAAAGTAAAAAGAGTTTGAGCTCATAAAATAATCCCCCAAACAGCTGTCAAAACTGACCAAAAACAATCAATCTTATTCTGTCACTAATTGATATATATATATATTCATCACAATGGAAAATGTTTTTCTTTTTAGAATATTTGTTAGTGATGCATGCAATGATTACAGAATTTTTTAAAAAATGCAAAGATTGGCAATGATTGATTTTTTAAATCTCTTTCACAATTGCAAAAAGAGACTGAAAGGGGAGAAGCACAGCTTCATCTGGCAGAGAAACAACTGAATCTGACCAAACTGCAGCAAACCAAGGCCAATGACTTGAGATCCGCCTCCTAAAGGCCACGCTCAGACAAGCTGTTCTCTCCACATCAGATGAGGAAGTCTGAGATTATTGTGGAGTTTTTGACATTAACTCTTTTTTTTTATTTACATCTATATTTGAAACTTGTTATAAATAAACTTGTTATAAATATCCTCAATATACAGTGTTGTAGGTCTCAAATGAGCAGACTTTATTAATTTATTATTATTTATTATTATTATTATTATTTTAATAATTATTAAATTTTCTTAGTTTTCATTTCAAATAAATATCATATCCTGTTTGAGCACTAGTTATCCAGATTTAGTGATCCTGAAAAGTTCCAATCCAGATCAGATGGATCCAATCCGATGTTGCTTTGAAAAACTGGCTCAAAAATTAAGCTGGATTACGTGATCACGGATCGCAAAAACAGGATTACTAAATCCGGATCAATTTTATCCGGATTAAACCTTTTGAAAAACCGGGCCCAGAGTTTCATCTAGTTCGTATGTTTCATTTTTAACTTTCGACTTCTGTTTTAATGGGGTTTGAAACCACATGGCGAACGGAAAGAAAAACTTCTGCATTTCGTTACTCAGTGGTCCTTTAAGGTAATCAAAAAATGCTATTTTTACATGGTAGACTCTTAATAAGAGTATTATTTTAATCATATTAAAATCGAAGTATGGGGTAAATGCCAAAGCATGCTAATAAGACTTTTAATTTGC